ATAAAACTTGTCTACAGCTTGTGGTCCAGACAACATTCCTGTCACAGTCTTGCAGAATTGTTCAGATGTTGTCCATAACTTTCTTCAATTCTCTCTAAACTATTTAACAAGTGTTTGACTGAGTCTTGTTTTCCTGCTTGTTGGAAAATGGCATCTGTGGTTCCAATATTCAAAAACTCTGGAGAAAATTCTGACCCCTCCAATTATCGTCCGATCAGTCTTCTTTCTGTTATTAGCAAGGTCTTTGAGTCTTTGATCAACAAATTCCTCACATCTCATCTTGAGTCAAATAAACTACTGTCAGACAATCAATACGGTTTTTGATCCTCTTGCTCTACGGCCGACTTGCTAACTGCTGTAACTGAAAGATTTTATCGTGCATTAGATGGAGGCGGTGAGGCTAGGGCTATTGCTCTTGACATATCTAAAGCTTTCGACAAAGTTTGGCATGCTGGTCTTCTCCATAAACTTGCTTCATATGGTGTTTCTGGGAAAGTTTTATATATATATATATTTTTCAAATCATTTCTTTCTAACCGGTTTATTAAAGTCATCCTTGAAGGCCAACACTCTTCTTTATTTCCAGTAACTTCTGGGGTTCCCCAAGGTTCCTAGTAACTCCCAACTTAATAGTGGTTGCTTGCAGCCTTTTTGGGAGTGAATGCAAATAAAAAAAAAAAAAAGAAAAAAAAATTTTGACGACATCGTTTCTATGTTTTATGGTTAGACCTTTGTATCAAATAGTTTTTGCTGACCTGATGCCGACCTCAACAAGATTTAGGCCAGCAAATTATTGCTGACCTCAATCTTTTTGAGGTTGGCATCAGTACACATATATACATATGTGTATATATATTTATATATATATATATATATATATATATATATATATATATATATATATATATATATATATATATATATATATATATATATATATCCTTTTAGTGTAGTCGAAAGAGACTTTTAATGTAAAATAAGTCTCTTTTGACTACAATTTTGCTACCTCGACAGTTAAGCTACATTTTATTGTCCTCGAAATGTCAAAGCAATTAAATTAATGCGGAAGTACATTAAATTTTATCGTTTTTTAAAAAAACCGCAATAATAATGACTAGAAAGTTTTTTTAAATTAATGGTGTTTTTGTTGTTGTATTATTAAAATATACTTTTAAAACATGCACAGAGTGTTGCTACTTTGACTACTTTTAGCCTGGTGCTACAAGGGAGTGTTGTTACATAGACTATCTTATAGCCTGACTCGCAACAGAATGTTGCTACATTGAGTGTCTTATAGCCTGACTTGCAACAGAGTGCTGCTACATCAACTGACAAATAGCCTAACTCACAAGGGAGTGCTGCTACATTGACTGAGGGTTTGGTTTGGGCAGGCAGTCATTTAAGAAAAAGAAAAAAATTATTTAAGTTTTTAAACTTTTTCTGGTCTGGTTTATTAACGTCTTTAAAACTACAGTTTACAGGAAAAACTTTCTGAGTACCATGCAAGACTATACATATGTATATATATACATTTCTTATAATTACTACTCTCTTGGGAGCTATTTCAGTGTGATTTTTAAATTTCAAATTAGAAAAAAAAGTTCCCAGTTAAGAAAAGAAACAAATGATTGTTTTATGTAAGAAATTAGGAAGAAATGCAAACAAAATGATATTTATAAAATAATCATTTTAGTAAAAAAGTGATCTAAATATATACTAAAAGAGAGTTAAAAAATTTAGTCAAACAAATTTTTTGAACAATTTTTCTAGAAAATCTTATGGTGTTTGAATAAATATTAGAAAAACAACAGTTGCTGATGTTTCTCTGATGTAATTATGATAGAAAACATAATCAACTATCATAATCATTTGATTTTTTTTATACTTTAGTAAAATACTTGAGCAATTTTTACGTTTTTTTGGAAAAATAATACTTGAGATATTAAAAATGTTGGAAATATTTTTTAATAATTTTAAAATTTTAACTGGTCCACTCAATTTATTTGCGTCTAGTGAGTTGATAATTTTTTAAATTTCATATTCTTGAGTAGGTTTTGTAAAAAATGATCTGTTGCCTGAACATCTTGAGCAATGTTAGTTGGAGTTGTTGTTGAAAGCATTACAAATATTTGTTAGTTGTTAAAAGCATTACAACAATTTGTTAGTTGTTGAAAGGATTACAGCAATTTGTTAGTTGTTGAAAGCATTACAAATATGTGTTAGTGTTGTTATGAAAATTAAGAGTTGTGTTAGAATGGTTTTAATAAATTATAAAAAATTTAATAAATTATAAAAAATGATCTGAGATTGAGATGATAAGGTTTCATGCTTTATAATTATTTGGTTTTTGACTAGTTTTATCAACCTTTGATATTTAAAAAGATGTTGTCAATGTTTTTGATGTTTTGCAGATATAATTAAGACTTTGCTGGAGAAATTAATTTAAAGTTTATAGAGCCTACAAAATGACATTAACTAAGAATTAAATATATGCATTTTTACAAAAAAAATTTATCATTTATTTATTTACTTATTTATTATGCTCCTTGAGATTTAATGTTGTGTTAAATCTATTATGAGCCCATGCAAATTAAAGTTTCATAATATCCACAAAAATCAGAGTTTCATAATATTTATATATTTATCAAACTTGTTCTTAAAGATTTTTACACTTTTTGTGGAAATGATTTCTTCTTGTAGTTTAATCCACCATTTTGCTACTGTCATAAAATTTACCCTGGGTTTATTGCTTTTTATTAGTATAACATTGACACATGCTTTATGACCTCTAATGTTTGCAGCTGGAACATTAGTTGAAAAAGAAATTACTGCTTTTGGTTGTTGATATGAAAACATGCATGGGGCTCTCAGTGGCTGGTGAACTTTAATTCAAAAAATATTTTATTAGTGATAAAATTCAAAAAAAATTTTCAGCTAATTGCAAAAGTCTAGATCTTCCTATATTTATGAATGGTAATGTACTCTATGAGTCATCTATCCTTCATCTTCTAGGATTAACTCTAACCTACAATCTGTCTTGAAAATCATATATCAAATCCATTGCAAAATTAGCATCTGTTAAGTTAGCATCTCCTTATCGTGCTCGCCACTTTTCTCTCCCAATTCTAATCTTTATCTCTATAAATCTCAAATTCTAATCTTTATCTCTATAAATCTCAAATTCATCATCTTTATCTCTATAAATCTCAAATTCTAATCTTTATCTCTATAAATATCAAATTCGTCATCTTTATCTCTATAAATCTCAAATTCTAATCTTTATCTCTATAAATCTCAAATTCTAATCTTTATCTCTATAAATCTCAAATTCTAATCTTTATCTCTATAAATCTCAAATTCTAATCTTTATCTCTATATATCTCAAATTCATCTTTTATATCAGCATAAGATCGGCATTTTTGTTTTTTTATTTTTGTTTGCTCTTATTTAAAATATTTCAGAGACAATTAGAAATATATACAAAAGAAAAATACAAGTCAAGATAAAAAAATTACACTAACTGAATAAAATTATGTTAAAGCGTAATAATAATAAAAAAAAATTAAAAAACAAAAAAAAAAAAAAAAATTATTTTGTAAACACTCATGTGAACAAATACTGTTGCCATATCTGGGGCGGTTCTTCCAACGACACCCTATTTTTAGATAAGGTGCAAAAACGCATTGCAAACATAGTTAGACCTGCTCTTGCAGCCAAACTCCAACCATTATCACATTGTTGTAATGTTGCTTATCTTTCTCTTTTCTATAAATACCATAATGGACACTGCTCTAAAGAGCTAGTGTCTTCCATGCCATCTACTAAAATTCATTCTTGTGTTACTCGTCATTCAAAAGTCTCATCTTTTAACTGTGACTGTTCTTAAGTGCTCTAAAAATTCTTATTTGTCTAGTTTTTTTCTTGAACGTCAGTTCTTTGGAATTCGCTTCCTTTATATTGTTTTCCTGATTCATATAATTTGCAATCTTTTAAGTTGTCTTTCAATCATTATCTTGCTCTATAAACTTCATCTTTTCTCTTCCAGTAATTTCCAACCCTAATAATGGTTGCTTGCAGTCTTGTGAAAATGTTCAAGAAAAATAAAAAAAATCTTGTCTAATTTATGTTTTTAAGGTAGTTAGGTGGAGTTTTTTTAACCTTGTTTCATAGGATAGATGCCTTAACTCTGGAATCAGTTTAGTTGCATGTTGTTGAACATTTTTTTCATTTATGTCATTGTTATTACAAGTATTCCTTATTGGTGATGATTCAAGAATTGATCTTACAAAAGTGTAGTATAAAATATTCATTGCATTTTTGTATTTGTAGTTAAATGATTTGAATAATTGACCTAATTGACTATTTGCTTTATTTACAACCATATTTACACGATGATTCAATTTTTTTATATAATATTCAAAATTTTTATTATCTTTTCCAAATGGATGATTTTATATTTTTTTATGTTGAAATTTATGATCATTAGACCATTTAGTTACTAATATCCTCGATGTGTGTAAATAGTTAAGAAATAAAAATTACAAAATTTAGAATTTTTATTTTTTTATGAAAAAAAATAAAAACATTCTGAATATTTTTAAAAACATTCTAGTCTAATAATTTGCGCTTTTGTGATTTAAAAAATTATAAATTTAATTAGATTGCTTAAATAAACTTAATGGTTGACATAAAGTGTACTTAATCTTGTCTTCTTTAAACACAAAGAGTGGTTAAGAGCCATTTTTTACCACAAACAGTAAGTTTAGTTTTTAAACTATACAAATTTATATATATATATATATATATATATATATATATATATATATATATATATATATATATATATATATATATATATATATATATATATATATATATATATATATATATATATATATATATGTATATGTAAAATATATTCTATTAGAATATATATATATATATAAAAGAAAAATATAAAAAATATCTAGTTTAATCTTAAAACTTTATTTTTATGCTAGGTGGAATTTTTCAGTGGGAACTTATGAAATGGATTTTTATGATGGGTTTTCTCATGAAATACCATCACATTCTGAACAATCTTGTGCTTCAGGATTTTCAGAAAATTTGTTTTTTGATGTTCAAAGTGGGACAGTTTCAAGTAATGGGCATGCAAACTGGTCATTTGAATTTGGGTCTCCAATTGCAAAAGCATGGATTTTAGATGATGGAAGACTGAACGAATTAGATGTCCTTAAGGATGGGCTTATTAGAAGTATGGAGCAGGAGGCAATGCCTGATACTTGGGTGTACATGGGTAAATATTTTTAATGTTACTTGATATTTTGTTATTTGATTTTTTTAATTTGACCTGATTATTTTTTAATTGAGACCAAGGTCATTTTTTTTTTTATTATAACTGCCTTATTATAACTATTTTTTTTTATTATAACTACCTTCCCTTACCTCTTCCCCTTCATCTTTGTTGGTTACATTATAGAGGTTAGTAGTTTTTTCCCAACAATTTTTATTTCTGATTTGAGTTTTAAAATTTTTTTTTTACACATCTTAAGATTTTTACTTTTTCACTTTAAAAAATTTACCGAAAAATCGCCATAGTTACATGACTGATGTTAGGTGACCGACCATGTAACTTAAGTCATTTAAGAAAAAAGCATGCAAAACTCAAATTTTAAAAACTTTTTTTTCTCAAATAATATTTGTAATTAGTTCATTAATATGAATCAATAAAAAAAATAATGTTTATATGCAACCTGCTAAAATAATTTTTTAATAAAACAACAATTTGAAAAAATGCATACTATCAAAATCTAAAATAAGCCTTAAATTGTAAATTTACCTGTAAATTTACAATTAAATTTTGACATTTTTATAAGAGACACACTATGGTATTTTATTTGAAAAAAAAAAATTTGCGCAAAAAGAATTGCTTATAATTGCCATTCAAATTTTATTATTGTTTAACAAGTGATCAAATAAGTATAGTAATAGTAGATCATCTTATAACTAAATATGTCCCATGATCAGCAGCGTAGCAAATTTTAGTCTTAGGCAAGCAAAAGTTTTTAAAGTATTCTGGACTGAAATCTCGTAACTTAAGTTGAATTCTCTTTTTCAGGCAGTTAAGATTTTTTGCTTTGAAATCATTGAAATAGACTCTCTGTTTTAGGTGAGCCCAAAATGTCTCAATGGGCCTTAATTGCGGTACATTTGGTAGATTATCATCCTTAGAAACATAGGTTATATTAAACTTCTTATAGGTTTCAATTGTTAGCTTTGCATAATGACAGCTTGCATAATATTGACTAGTAATGGTGTCCCACTTTTTAACATAACCCAAATGTGCAACTCTTATTGTTTTCAAGAAGATGTAGAAGATGTTTTTCAGCAAAATCCTGTTGCATCTTTTAGAGCTGACCCAACTATTGTAGCAGACATGTGTCCAGCTTGTCTTTAAGAAAAAATCATCCCCTGTAATGACATTACATAGTCTCCATGGACCATTTCTAAATAGGGTCAAGTTTTCTTTATATGCTTTAACTCTAATCAGTTGATTTTGAACGATTAATTAGCAGGCTAATTAATCTGATACTAGTTTTCATTTTAAAAAGCGTTGTGAATGGTTTCATTGATCGTAAAATGGTTTGCTTATATCATGTGTTACATAAGGGTTTTCTTCATTAATGGCACATGTTGAAGATGATCACTGCCCTGAACGCATCTAGAAGATAATCACTGCCTTTCTCTTCTAGACTCTCTCTACCGTCTTGAAATAAAGCACCCCACTTGGTATCTGTACTATATTTTTTTCACTACTACTATATCATCAATAATGACTTGTGCTGAAACTAAAGTACTGGTTTTAATATATGCTAGATTTTATTTTTAAATTTTTCAATACACACTCAAAAAATTACAAGTACTTAAAGTGTGGATAATACAGTTTAAAGTGATATATAAATATTTAATTATAGGTCTAAAAAAATGGACAAAACAGGCTTGGCCTGGAAGGGGTGCGATTTCAGGTCTTTATATGACCACACAAATAAAATTTTGCTGTGACGATTTAGCCACAGTTTTAAACAAATGCGTTAAAAAATTGGTTTTTAATTACGTTGAAAATAAATAAATTCGACAAGTTTTTATATTAGCAATACGCTTTTAAATAAAGTAGCTCGAGATTTTAGTTAAAGTATCATTGAAAGTTAAAATATATAAAATAAATTTTAATTCATATTATTTTAATATTAATTATAAAAGATTTTTTTATAAGTAAAATAAATTTTTTTTTAAATTTTATAAGCAACGACTTTAAACAGCAATGGTCTCTTTAATAAACTTTATATAAGGTATTAAAGTTAATTCACTTGAAAAGTAGAAGGATTTATTAAGTATTCATCAAACAATCATTAGAAGTAAGTTGTTACTTTATTTAAAAATGCTTTGCATAATATCATAAAGACATTAGTAAAGATCAACAATTCAAAGTTTTCATTCATCTTAAATGTTTTTTTATAAAGATTTGTTTTCTTTTTTACGATAAGTTTTTAAAAGTTTCTTAATAGTTAAGATAATTTTTCAGCGAGTTTTTAAAATGCATACAAAATTTCAAAACATTAACAGCCGTGGTCAAGTTTTTAAAATCAAATAGTATTTGCATGACCATATTATGACATAAAATTGCTAAGCCTGCCAGAATATTCTTAAAGAAAAAATTGCTTTTAATGGGTTTTAAAAGAAATTCATTAAAGTTTAAACCCATATGTCCTCTTTTTTAATATTTATTGTTTACTATAGTTTCTTTTATCCTATTGTTTACTTTACATTAATAATGAGTTTCAAATTGAATCTAAGTTTATTTTATTCTTTTCTCAACAATTTGTATTTAGACTAATCTCATTGCTTAAGTAGTTCTAAAAACATATTTTTTTCTTTTCAATAAACTAGAATTATAAACTGTATACAGACAGGGTTAATACTTTACCCTGTATCTATATAAAATTTGGTAAGTGTGTTCATTAATGGTGTAATATGCTAATTACTTTTTAAATTAGATATATAAATATACAAGATATAAATAAAAATAGTGATAGATATACATAGATAAAAATGATCCTAAATGAGATCAATAAAAGAAGAATTGTTGAGATTTCATCATTTGGAATGACTTATATATTGCAAACAAGCCTGGATGTGGAAAAAGCAACTGATTTTCTGAAGTGTAAGGAGAAAGGAGAAGCAGCTCATCAATCTAATTTAGGAAGAGAAATAAAAATGTAAAAACTACAAAAAAAAAGAAACTTGATGCGTTGTCTAAGCTCCCCTTAAAAGTTGCTACACTTCTATCAGGTGGACACAGAAAAATCCAGTCAACTTTAAATTGAGATTTCTCTAAAACCACAAATGCTTTTTATTTTGTATATTTTTTTTTAACTAAACTTCCTTATCTTCAATTGTGTTGATAAACTTTTGTTTACAAGTTAATGGTTTGCAAAATGTTCTGGAAATAAATTTAGGTGCGTAAAAAAGTTTTTGCCAAATGTTTCAGAAACAAATTGAAGTGTGTAAAAAAACTTTTTTTTGCAAAAATCCATCGACTTCATATCACTTGATTGCTAAACGTACAAATGTCCCAAAATGTACAGTCATAAATATTATAAATAAGTTACAGACTACTCAAAGCTTTGAAAGAAAACCTGGAAGTGGAAGAAAGAAAACTTTCCATAAATTCACCCAAGAGAAAATGATGAAATTAAAGGAATTCGAAGCGCATAGAATTTGGTTAAAATAATGGCAGAGAAAAGTATGTGTATAATTGAAGACAACGAAACGTATTGCAAGGCTGATTTTTCATAACCTCCTGTTCCACAAATTTACTATGAGAACAAAGATAAACCTGTCAAAGATCAATTTAAATATAATTGACAAGAAAAATTTGCATCCAAGTTGTTGTCAAGCAATTTGTAGCTGTGGTATGCAGTCCTCTTGTTTTGTCACTAAGAAGGCCTTGACTGCTGATTTCTTCATCAAAGAATGCTTCCAAAAACGACTTTTGTCACTTATGAAAAAACACAAATACAAATGTCTCTTTTGGCCCAATCTTGCTGCTTCTCACTATTCTAAAAATATTCTACAGTAGTGTAAAGATAATAATGTGAAAATTGTTTCAAAAGATACGAATCCTCCAAATCGTCCTAAAGAGTAAAGATTGATGTTTTCGGGATAATAGTTAAAGGAGTTCTTCGAAAGACAGGTGGAGTAACAAAAAATAAAAAGGACTTCCAAAAAAAGTGGATTAATAAAACAAATAACATAATGCCATCTACCCGCTATAAACTTCAATCATTTGCTAAACAGCTTATCAAGCCCCTTAAAATTACTATGAAACCCTAATTGATGTAAACACATTTAACATAAAAAATTGAAATAAAAAGCATTTATGGTTTTAGAGAAATCTTAATATAAAGTTAACCGGATTTTTTCATATCCACCCAATACATAAGATAAAAGTAGATGAAAAAAGTAGTTTTTTTTTTGCCCCTGACTGAATGATGAGCTTCTCATCTGTAGAAATGCAGCAATTTTTAAGAATAGGTTGAACAATGCATCTATTATTTAAATATTATATATAATAATATTTTTTATATATAATATTTTTTACACTTAAAACAAAATTATTGAGAAAAAATTAATAAAATAAACTTAGATTCAATATGAAACTCATTTTAAACTTAAACAGTAGGATAAAAGCAACTAAATAAATATTCAAAAAGCAAACATATGAGTTTGAACTTCACTAAAATTCTTCCAAAGCCCATTAAAAATAAATTTTTCTTCAAAATAGCTTAACCAGTTTTTTTTTTATCTACTATATATATACATATATACATATACAAAAATATATATTGTATATTGTATTGTATGTACTGTACTGTATGTAAATATATTGTTTTTAGGACTTCATGATGGTCAAATCTATGTGCAACATCCAAAAAATTTACCTCCAACTAGTTTACAAGTTACCTCTCAACCATATGTAAAACACTGGAGGCCTTTCATTTCTTCGTCTTATTCCCGCACGCCAGCATTAAATAATAATAAACAACTTGGGATAAGAAATTCTTTAGATTATCCATTTGGTAAGTTTCATAACAGCAATGGAATTTTGATAATTATTTGCTCTATATTTTTAATTTTATTATTAAATTTTATTAATCGCTTCTTGTTTCAGACAATGGATTTATACTCATTCTAAATCGTACACCTACAGAGATTTCCTTGACTGATTCAAGTGGTCATAATGAAAATCAGTGTTTCAGTAATGCAAATATCTGTGAAAAAAACAAACCTAGTGTTACTGTTGAGGCGACAGCAATAGTCCCACTAAGTGTAAAAGATTACTGGTAAATTTTAATTTAAATCTTACAGATTTAATTTATACAGTGAGAATTTATTCATACTGAGTCATTTTTGCATTTTATTCTTTTAAATCTTTTTTTTTTAACTTAATAATTAATGAAAATAACTGAAAAAAATATTTATTTTAATTTCTTATGGCTATCCCTTTATTTATATTTTCTAAGTAAAAAAATGAAAAAAATGTGTTTATTTAGAATAATTTAAAATAAAAAATTTAGAATAAAAAGAGTAAAAAAATTTAGATTAAAAAAAGGTCTAATCTTATTTGTAACATTTACAAAAGTAGGAGCCATTTTGGTTTATTTACTTTGGTTGTATTCCTGGTAAAGAAATAAAACCAAAATAAATATTATAAATACAAAATTGTTGAGAGAAGAATAAAATAAACTTGGATTCAATATGAAACTCATTATTAATGTCAAGTAAACATTTAGATATTTGATATTTTTACTGGATGTGGGCTTAAACAAGCTTTAACAAATGCGAAAGAATAATAAAAAAAAAATTAAATTTAAAAGCGCGAAGAATATACAGACTAAAATATAGCAAATCATCTGAAAAATTAACAAGAAATCCAATTTCACTAACATCAATTAGAAATCAAATTTATAAAGCTTTTGTTGTTGTATAACTTATTAAAAACCATTTTTAACAAAAAATTATATGAGAATGAATTATGCAAGAAAATTATTTAATGCCAGTATCATTTTGGAAGAGAGTTCTTGGGTCTGAAAAATCCAAAATTCTGATAGTGTACAAAAAATTTTTTGAAATAGGGGCAAAGCTTTTTATTTGAGTTGCATTAAAGGAACAGTTAAACATAATGGTACAAGTTATAAGATTATAAGGTTGCTAATTTATTATAAGGTTGCTAATTTATATAACTATATGGTTTAAAATCCTTTGCCTAAAATTTGATGAGGAAGTAATTTTGTGTTTCAAAAAAAATAAAATCAGGAGTAAGAAAATGGCAAGCAGGATAAGAAATGGGTTATGTATATGGTTTTTTTGAGAGGTCAGTACCAAAAGCTAATCTGAAAAGACCTTAAGTAGTGGACTTGATAAGAGTGTCACTCATCAATATAGAAATATCAGCAACACTGCAATAATTAAAAGTGTGTGTTGTTTGGGTTTCACCGCCAACTGCAAATAGTGTAACAGTAGAAAGATTGCGTTTAAGATTGGCTGTTTGTTCTAAGCAATCATTAAGTGATGAATTTTTGTAAACACTGGAGTTGTGTCATCAGAAAATTCACTTGATAGATAAGATTATCTGGAAGATCATTAATGTAGATGAGGAACAACACAGGACCAAGGATGAATTTTTATGGTACCTCAGATGTTACTAAAAATGGAGGTCCATTAACAATGACATTAATACTGCAATTGGAAAAAAATGACTTGATTATTTTAAAAACTTCCTCAGATACATCACATGAAGAGTAAATTTCCATGTAAGACTTTATAGAAAACCTTTAATGTCAAAAGCAATAGTTATTGCCACTGTAGTTTCTGATGCATGGTAAAAATTAATAAGTTGGCATTAGAATGAGAGGATCAAAATTTATTTGATTACATTCTTACAAATGTATGTTGCTAGGCTCAAGTTAGGAAGAAGTTTATTAGTTGAAGGTATAAAAAGTTAAGATATAAGAATTATTAGTTGAAGGTATAAAAAGTTGAGATATAAGAATTATTAGTTTAAGATATAAGAAGTTGAGATATATAACCCTAGATATGTAATCCTAACCCTAACTCTGAGCAGACACAAAAAGTTTATTATTTGAAGATATAAGAAGGTGAGAAGTTAATTAGTTGAAGACTCAGAGATCTTATTAATAATTGTAAGAAGTAGATAAGTATGAAGGAGATAGGTATGAGGGAGAGAGATAGAGGTGTCAAACTATTTTTTTTTTTAATATATGAAACCACAAATGCTATTTTCCAGCAGACAGGAAATCAGGATTCAATTAAGAACTTGTTAAACAGTTTAGAACATATCAGAGAGATTTGTGCTAGGAATGATGTCCACAAGCTGTAGAAGTGTTTAACTGGAGTGATTTGGGTGTCTAACAATGAGTTAACTTATTTTTTTAGGATGACAAATTTTTTTTTTTGTTTTTTTTTTCAATTATTCTCCTCCCTAATCCTCCCAAGTACAATTCTTAAGTTCAAGAGATGTTTTAGAGGAAAAGTTCTTTGTCTTAGAAACCTATTACCAGCCAGTAAACCAAGTATTAGTGCTTTATCCTCATTATGAGATAACAGAATGAGTTGGAATCAAACTTGGAACTTATGAAGCGCTCTACTACTACTTGACTATTGCATTTTTTAATGGAGTTTTGTAACCAGAATTTTTATATGTAATATTTTCTATAATTCTTTATACAGTTCTTTAAGCAGAACTTCTGTATTAAATGCTTTTTACAGTTTTATACCCAGATCTATTGTTATTTTTATGTTAATTATGTTAATTATAGTTTCTTTAGAAGTGATCATCAATTTTTTAATTTTAGGAAAGAAATGCTTTTTTTTTCCTTGGTTATTGCTATTGGTATTAATATAGTGATGCGTGTTGTTAAGAAAAAGTTTGAAAACAGTAGTCCTTTAAAAAATATTGTGAGTAATATTTTTCTTATTATATATTTGTTTGTAAATTTTTTGATTTAAAAGTAATGAACTTTTGAAAAATTTAAAATATATTTATAAAATTTTTTGTTATTGAATTCAATTTTTTGAATTGATAAAAGTTTTTGAATTGAAAAATTAATAAAAAAATAGTAAAAATCTATTATATAAACTATTCAGAAACAAGAAATGTTGAGTATGAGACTTTTTTTTTTTTTTTAATTTGCATTCACTCCCAACAAGGCTGCAAGCAACCACTATTAAGTTGGGAGTTACTAGGAAAAAAAAGAACAGAGTTATAGAGCAAGGAAACGGTTGACAGAAGACTTGAAAAGTTGAAGGTTGTATGAGTCAGGAAAACATGAAGATGGGAGAGAGTTCCAAAGGATTGAAGTGCGGGGAAAAAAACTAGATGAATAAAAGTTTTTAGAGCATGCAGGGACAGATACAGTAAACAAATGAGACTTAGCTGAATGACGAGTAAAACGAGAATGAATTTTAGTTGATGGAACTAGAGATGATAACTCCTTTGAGCAGTGACCATGTTAGTATTTTTAGAAAAGAGAAAGAGATGCAACTTTACGACAATGGGAAAGAGGTTCAAGCTTAGCAGATAGTCCAGGTCCAACAACATTTACAATGCGTTTTTTGGACCTTGTCAAGAAGAGAAAGTGAATTGTTAGAAGAACCAGCCCAAATATGACAACAGTATTCCATACAGGGACGAATAAGAGATTTGTAGAGGTAGAGAATGGAATCAGAAGTAAGGAAATAGAGAGCATGATAAAGAGAAGCAACTTTAGCAGAAGCTAATTTAGCAATCGATTGTATATATGGTTTCCATGAAAGGTCAGTAGTAAGCGATAATCTAAGAAGACGTAAAGAGGAGGACTCAGTAGGAAGATAGCCATTCATTAATATAGGAGTGTTGACCATATTACGGTAGTTGTTTGCAGTAAGCAACTGGGTTTTTTTAGAGTTGAAATTCACAAGTCACTGTGAACCCCAATCTATTACTGAAGTGAGATCAGATTCAAGATCAGCTGCTTGTTCTAGGCGATCGAAAAGAGAAGACTTTTTGTCAAGACAGGAGTATAAAGTTGAGTCATCAGCAAAAAGAGATACTTTAGATGAAATGTTGTCAGGATGATCGTTTATGTAGATAAGAAACAAAACAGGGCCCAGGATGGAACCTTGGGGAACCCCAGAAGTTACTGGAAATAAAGAAGAGTGTTGGCCTTCAAGGATGACTTTAATAAACCGGTTAGAAAGAAATGATTTGATAATCTCAAAAACTTTCCCAGAAACACCATATGAAGCAAGCTTATGGAGAAGACCAGCATGCCAAACTTTGTCGAAAGCTTTAGATATGTCGAGAGCAATAGCCCTAGCCTCACCGCCTCCATCTAATGCACGATAAAATCTTTCAGTTACAGCAGTTAGCAAGTCGGCCGTAGAGCAAGAGGATCAAAAACCGTATTGATTGTCTGACAGTAGTTTATTTGACTCAAGATGAGATGTGAGGAATTTGTTGATCAAAGACTCAAAGACCTTGCTAATAACGGAAAGAAGACTGATCGGACGATAATTGGGGGGGGGGTCAGAATTTTCTCCAGAGTTTTTGAATATTGGAACCACAGATGCCATTTTCCAACAAGCAGGAAAACAAGACTCAGTCAAACACTTGTTAAATAGTTTAGAGAGAATTGAAGAAAGTTATGGAGAACAATTCTGCAAGACTGTGACAGGAATGTTGTCTGGACCACAAGCTGTAGACGAGTTTAATTGAGATATGACTTTAGCAACAGAAGCCGGAATGATTTGAATGTCTAACAATGGGTCAACCTGTTTGACTGGAATGGAAGGAAGAGAATGTCCATAAGATTCAAGAGTGGAATTAGAAGAAAAGTTCTTTGCAAATATTTCTACCTTTGGAGTATCCTTGGGAGAGGTAATAAGATCAGTCCCATGAATGAGAGATGGAATGTTAGATCTACCCTTGTAAAAATGCTGTTGAAGATTTTCCAAAAGTCTTTAGAGCCTAACTTCTGCGATAAGATGCGAGATTTAGTGAACTGAGAATAATGGAGTTTAGCATCAGAAAGCACCTTTTTACATCGATTTCTTGCAATAATAAATAGCCGTTTGTTCTCAAGAGAGTTGTTCTTTTGAAAAAGATGAAAAAAATGATTACGATTGGATATAGCAGCCGCACAAGAAGGAGAAAATCATGGAGTAGAATGAGGCTTGACTTGAAACCGACGAGAAGGAATGAAAGCTTCCATTCCAGCCTGAATCCAGGAGTTTACGTAGGAGGCGCATTTGTCAGCTGAGAGAGAAAAAACATCAGCCCAAGGACCATCACGAAGAAAATCACGAAAGGAATCCCAGTCAGCTTTAGGGTAGTAGTAAGTGGTGCGATGATAAGGTGAGCCCAAAAAAGAAGTTTGAGAAAAAAGATTTATAGAGATCATAGCATGGTCAGAACCACCCAAGGGAGAAAGAAAAGGGAGAAACTGAATACAAGCTAGGGTCAGAGACTTAAATGAGACTTAAAGTAATAACTTTTTTTTTATTTTTTTTTATTTTTTTTTTATTTTGATTATTGTGAGCTAAAGTTTTTAATTTTAGGTTATTGAAAATAATTCAACACCCACTGCCCCTGATCCACAACCTCATGGAAATAGTGACTTTTCCTCTAGGTAAGAATGTAAAGTTTGTTTATTTATTTTTAATTTAATTGAAAGATTTTTAGATTATTATTCGATATCTTATTAGTTTAGTAGTAATATATCGTAATTAGTAGTAATCAAAGTAGGATTTGAAAATATTTTGTATAACTAATAAATAACAAAAATTGTATTTAAAGTACAATAAATTTTCAAAAGCTTTCAGTTTTTTTGAATTACAGACATTTACAAAATCAAATTCTAAAATTGTTTTTTTTTTTTTTATACTTTATTCAAATACTTTGTGATACAATTCCTCAGTTCTATGTATCATATATTATTCAAACTCCATAAATCAAATGTAAATATTTCTACTTGGTTGAATATTGGAATAAATTCAGTTACTGGAATACTGAAATTCAATGAAATTACCTTTTTTGACTTTAAAACTTGTTTGAGGTAAAAGTTAAATTAAAAATGATAAAAAAGATAACATTAAAAAAAAAAGAAAAAAATTGATCAAAGCATAGAATGCAATTTAAGTAAATTTAAGTTTTTTTTTCATCTTAGTTTTTATTTTTGCATTGAAACTTTAACTTTAATCACAGAACATTTATGCGACGCAGTATTCCCGTGAGTAACTTGTTCTCTATAAATATTTATTAATTTCAAAAGTAAAATGTTAAGTTTAGATTTAGAAAAAAGTTTATGCAAAGACTTTTGAACTATTTATTGAAAACATTTTTGGGAAGACTTTTAGTAAACCAAATAGTATGAATATTTTTTAGTTATCTTCAAAAAAAAGTTATCGTGAAAAATTTTATTTCTATATTTTGCAGACAAAATATAGAAATAAAAAACTGTTTTTATTTTTTTATTTTTTTACCTTGAGCTTCATCAAATTTTCAAAGAACTTTTTTAAAATCTTTTTTTTATAAATTGCATAATATAACGGGAAATAGGGTTTCTAACAGCTGTTAACAGAAACTGTAAAACAGCTGTTTTTTAACCAAAATCGGAAAAACAGGAAACAGCTGATTTTTTGCTACCTGTTTTCCTGCTTTTGATTTTTATCTTAATTCAACAGAGTTGCAATAATGATACAAAAAACTACACATTTTAACATAATATAGTTACGTAATATATGTTTTAACATAACATAGTTACTTGTAATAGTTTAATATAATATAGAAATAAAAGTTAAACAAAACATAATACTGGTTCTCTTTCCTATAAATAAGAATACAAAACATTACAATGAGGTTGAGTAGTTGCTGATATTATTGGCTTAACTAATTGAATTTGTGATTAATTATTTCAATATTTCACTAGAAAGTAGATACTATTCTTATTATGAAGAATATTTATTATATAATATACACCTTAATTCAATAGAAATGTCATCTGTTTAGGAGTTTACAACAAAACAAAAAAATCCTGTGACTAAGGATATAGAAGGAGTTTTCAATTGCTGCAATTTGTCATTAAGTGCTCTGGATTATCTACCACGTACTTAAAGGCTCACTTAAAATTAAAGCATGAAATTGATTGGTTTCAAACAGAAAGACTTGTTTTTTCTGAACAAGTAGAACCTGAAGCATAAAAAAAAAGCTAAAACATTTTGCAAAACATGCTTGATTTCGTTCAACGTACAGTAGTGGCCATTGTATTAAGGCACCTGGCAGAATTGCACTTTTAATTAAGCAAGTCCAGTTTCTCTTTCATGAAATCGTATTATATGTACTATTAGTATTATAAAATGTTCTAAAATATATATAGCAGCATTACTTTTAAAATTTATCAACAAAGAGTCTCAAAATCTTAGTATTTTGTAGGGTAACCACGATTTTTCAATGCAGCCTGTATACGAGAAGGCATACTTTTTACAAGCTTGTTACAGTACTCTGAGGTAATTTCATTTACCCACACCTGCTTCAATACATCTTTTAAATGTTCCTCTGACATTGGACGATGTGCTGACACTTTAGCTTTCATTAAGTTCCAACAATTTTTAATAACATTCAAATCAGGCGAATTTGAGGGCCAGTTCTTCAAAAGTTGCACATCGTTGTCATAAAACTACTTCTTGACTGATTTCGCAGTACGACACTGTGCTGAGTCTTGTTGAAAGATAGTAGTTTCAGAAATGTTTATATGTGTCTTAACCTTTGACTCTAAAACATGTATATACTTTGCAGCATTGACCTTTTCGCCTTTACCAAAGATGTGGATTCCGCATCTACCCTTAGCTGAGATAGCTCCCTACACCATAACAGATGGCGGATGTTTAACGGTCTTCAGAGTGTATTTTGGGTCGAGTCATTTACCTACCGGTCGACGAACATAATTGTACCCTGAACCAAGAAGCTGCTGGAAAGTACTTTCGTCAGTAAACATCACAGTAGTCCACCACTCAGCAGTTTTGTCCTTCATATCATGAAAGAATTTCACACGTGCCTGAAGCTGCTTCTTGATGAGAAATGACTTCTTTGCTGGTCTACGCGCATGCAGTTTAAATTCTGTAAACAGACGTCTGCGAACACTTCTGGCACTAATATTAATGCCTCTTTCCGTGGCCAATTCGGTAACTCGGGCAGAGGAAGTGTCCAGTGAGGAATACCCATTAGAGCTATCATCAGAAATCATTTCATTCACGATGCAATCAAAAAAAAAGGATATCAACTTCCAAAAAATGAGAATGAGGTAATGAAGCTTAATTCTGATAACAAGAAAAATTAAATGGTTTCAGAAATTGTTTCAAAAATGAAGGGAAGGGAAGAAAATTCAGTATAAGAGTTGACAACCATACAACTGTTCGTTACTACCACTTATTTGGAATAAATCTGCATTGTAGTGAATAAATAAAACATACAAATTGGTATTAGTTGGCATCTTTGGCAATACTGAAGCAATGGTTAAAAAAATATCAAATCACTTGAAGAGTTTTTCAATTGAATTTGAAAAAGATTTGGTAGGATCAACACAAGACGGTGCAGCAGTCAACAAAAAATATATAAAATTGTCAAGATTATCGACCAGTATTGCATTAATCATGGCATTCACTTGGGAGTAACTGACTTTTTGTAAAAAAAAATGACCAAATAAGTTCAAGTGAGTTTAATTCAAAAAAATTTTGAGCCAATCAAAATTGCTGTTGAGACACTGAGTCATGATAACTGATACTGTTGCTTTATGTTGGAAAAACTTTCAAATTTAAATAACAACATTTATAAGGAGTTATATGAAAATCTCAAGAAGCAAACGATTGAAAGATGGAATAACAATGTGATGAGTTTATTAAGATCACTGAGAATAGAGGGGGGGGGGGTCCAAAATTCTATATTTCTTGTTTAACCAGTTATTCTTAATTAATTTTTTGAAAAAAAATTAAAAAACAGTTCAGTTTTTGCTAATTTTTTATGGTTGACCTTCTACTTCTATTTTAAAAATTTAAAGATATAAAAAATAAAAGTCTTTGCAAAAATTTCTTTGCGTATAAAGTTATGCAACTTTTCTTTCAAATTTATGCTATTCAAATTTTGATTGGATAAATTTGATTTTTAATCGTTGCGTATTAGAAAAAAAAAGTTTAAAAAAGTCTTTTTCTAAAAAAAGGTTTTAAATAAGTAAAACGACAGATTGCTTCAAAAAAAAAAGTTTTATCTGAAGTCTTTTTCTAAACAAAACATTTTAAGTAATCAAAAAGACCGATTGCTTCAAAATATCTTAATTTACTTTTTTTATTTATTTTTAATCATTATTCAAGCTATCAAGAAGGCTATTCAAGATTTCATTTTTTTTTTTTCACTTTTCTTTAATAAAGTCAAGTATAAATCTTCTTTTAAAGTGCCAGTCAGTAGAAGTTCAGTTAAATTCTAAAGTTTTAACAATTCTAAAGATAAACAAGCTAAAGGAACACCGCTACCTAAAAGACTTTATAAAAAACAAACTGGGTGATGAAATTTTGAAATATTCTGCTTTACTCTAAAACGCAGTGAATAGCTAGTTAAAAAAAATTCTAGAAGCAGTTAATAAGTATACCTCAAAGAGGTTGAATGATTGTATCATTCTTGCTAGAGTATTTTGGCAAAAGTTAGCCTCAGGACTTTAAAAAAGAGAAAAGTATTATCTGTTTGGTTGATGATGGAATATGATTAGTATTAACTTTCTAATTAAGTTGTTGCAGTTGGAAAGCTTTGGAAAAAACTCATTTAATTTCAACAGTAGATGTATACTTAATTACTTAAACCATATAAAAATAAAGGTTTGCGTAGTTTAAAATTTTTTTGGAGAATTATTGTCCAGTTATTTGTCCAAAAAGTGGAATATAGTTGAAACCAGCTACAAAAACAAATATATAACAATGGAAGAGCGGCAAACTTTACATCAGGTGTGCAAGATGAGTTCTGTTTTAGCTTGATTAAAGTTACAAGGCAGCCCATTTAGCTGCGAACTAGACATTATTGAAGTAGATAAAGATATGTTAAAATGAAAAAAAAGTTCAAAAAATGAGGTTCTTTATTTTAGGGATATGTAGGTCATTGTTGCGGAGAACTATTCTGTTTAAATACATGATTGTTGATAAAAAAATACAAACCTCCATCTTATGTCTACCAAAGAACATGTTCATAACCTAGATGTTCTATAAGGAAAGTTCACGCAGCAATCTTTATCACATATGACTTTTATAGTTATTTTCCATTTTCAATAGTAAATAACAAACTATATGAATTATTTTCATATATAATGCTTAATTTTTTTTGTTACTTATAAATGATAAGGTATATTATTAATAAATTAAACAGAAAACGATTTCTAGTTTTCTACTTTTCTTATATTTAATGATAATAATAATTTCATCTATTTTAACAATGCCTTTTTTTGTCAATATATTCACTTTTATTAAAATTGAAGTACAAGGCTAAATAATTAAAATGAAAAAAAAATGATTATGATTTTCAGAATCAGCATGAAAAACTAATTAAGAAAAATTGGTTAAACTATAAAAAATCTAAAAAAAGACGATTATGGAC